GCTACGCATCATCAACGGAGAGGTGGTGCAGATGTCGGGAGGGGTGAGGACAGGGCTTAAATGTATACACACACACACACACACACCTATACTCACAAACATGCAAAAATGAACACAATCCCACTCACACACATACAGTGCTATACAGACAAACATTCAGGCATACACACAGAGACCGCTCTGGGAGGGCAGCAAGGATTCACATTTGTCGGTAATGTGATTTAGACTGTCCGAAACCAATACGATTCTGTGTAATGAATAGAGTTTAGATTCCACCACAGCTTTAGTCCTGGATAACTGCATTAAGTAGGTAGATGTATTACATTAGGTTGTGGTAAGGGTATGATGGTCAGATGGAGGTTGTCTATGTATGCAGGCTTTGTGAGGACATGATCCTGGTGGAAGTTACCAGTAGACACTGATCTAGGATCAGCTTACCCTCCACAAATGGCTGTTGGGTAAACACAGTCAGAAATGTGAAAAGATAGTGACATTAGACTGTGGAGGGCTCGACATTAACTTTTTTAGCCACTTGTCCATCTGACAAGTAGGCCAGATTTTTTTTTTTACTAAATAAAATAAAATCTATAACACCATGGGCCAAAACGGTGACTGAAAATTGTGTTGTATCATGCAAGGAGCCACTTCAGAAAATACAATTAATTATCACTGGTTTTGACAATGTAAGGCTTCTGGTCTCTGATCCCGAGTATGATATCTCCTGCCATTGTGGCCTTGAGCACGGCACTTAACCCCCCACAAAGTAAAATACTGGCAGGCTGCTGTATAAAACATACATTGCCTTCAGAAAGTATTCATACCCACATTTTGAATTCAAAATGGATTAAATATATATGTTTTCACCCGTCTACACTCAATACCCCCATAATGACAAAGTGAAAACATGTCTTTAGAAATGTTTGCAAATGTATTGAAAATGAAATAAAGACATCTAATTTACATAAGTATTCACACCCCTGAGTCAATGCTTTGTAGAAGCACCTTTGGCGGCGATTACAGCTTTGAGTTGTCTTGGGTATGTCTGTATCAGCTTTGCACATCTGGATTTGAGGATTTTCTCCCATTCTTCCTTGCAGATTTTCTCAAACTCTGTTAAGTTAGATGGGGAGTGGTGGTGAACAGCAATCTTTGTCTTTCCACAGATTTTCAATGGGATTCAAGTCTTGGCTTTGGCTGGGCCACTCAAGGATTTTCACATTCTTGTTCTGAAGCCATTCCAGCGTTGCTTTGGCTGTATGCTTGGTCATTGTCCTGTTGGAACGTACAGTAAATCTTCACCCCAGTCTAAGGTCATTTGCACTCTGAAACAGGTTCTCAAGGATTTGCCTGTATTTGGCTCTATTCATTGTTCCCTCCATCCATACCAGTCTCCCAGTCCCTGCCGCTGAAAAGCCTCCCCATAGCATGATGCTGCCACCACCATGCTTCACAGCAGGGATGGTGTTAGACAGGTGATGCGCTTTGCCTGGTTTTCTCCACACATAGCGCTTTGTATTCAGGCCAAAGAGTTAAATGTTTGTCTCATCAGATCACATAATCTTTTCCCTTATGCTCTGAGTCTTTCACGTACCTTTTTGCGAATTCCACGCATGCTGTTATGTGCCTTTTTCTCAGGAGTGGCTTCCGTCTGGCCACTCTCCCATAAAACCCCAATTGGTGAAGTGCTGTAGAGACTGTTGTCCTTCTGGCAGGTTCTCCCATCTCAGCCAAGGAACTCTGTAGTTCTGACAGAGTGGTCATTGGGTTCTTGGTCACCTCCCTGACCAAGTTCCTTCTTGCCTGGTTGCTCAGTTTGGTCGGCTGGCCAGCTCTAGGCAGAGTCTGGGTAGTTCCAGATGTTTTTCATTTCATGGAGACCACTGTGCTCTTGGAAACTTTCAACACTCTAAAAATAGTAGTATACCCTTCCCCATATACAGTGAGGGAAAAAAGTATTTGATCCCCTGCTGATTTTGTACTTTTGCCCACTGACAAAGACATGATCAGTCTATAATTTTAATGGTAGGTTTATTTGAACGGTGAGAGACAGAATAACAACAAAATAATCCAGAAAAACGCATGTCAAAAATGTTATAAATTGATTTGCATTTTAATGAGGGAAATAAGTATTTGACCCCTCTGCAAAACATGACTTAGTACTTGGTGGCAAAACCCTTGTTGGCAATCACAGAGGTCAGACGTTTCTTGTAGTTGGCCACTAGGTTTGCACACATCTCAGGAGGGATTTTGTCCCACTCCTCTTTGCAGATCTTCTCCAAGTCATTAAGGTTTCGAGGCCGACGTTTGGCAACTCGAACCTTCAGCTCCCTCCACAGATTTTATATGGGATTAAGCTCGGGAGACTGGCTAGGCCACTCCAGGACCTTAATGTGCTTCTTCTTGAGCCATTCCTTTGTTGCCTTGGCCATGGGTTTTGGGTCATTGTCATGCTGGAATACCCATCCACGACCCATTTTCAATGGCTGAGGGAAGGAGGTTTTCACCCAAGATTTGACGGTACATGGCCTTGTCCATCGTCCCTTAGCAGAAAAACACCCCTAAAGCATAATGTTTCCACCTCCATGTTTGACGGTGGGGATGGTGTTCTTGGGGTCATAGGCAGCATTCCACCTCCTCCAAACACGGCGAGTTGAGTTGATGCCAAAGAGCTCGATTTTGGTCTCATCTGACCACAACACTTTCACCCAGTTCTCCTCTGAATCATTCAGATGTTCATTGGCAAACTTCAGACGGGCCTGTATATGTGCTTTCTTGAGCAGGGGGACCTTGCGGGCGCTGCAGGATTTCAGTCCTTCACGGCGTAGTGTGTTACCAATTGTTTTCTTGGTGACTATGGTCCCAGCTGCCTTGAGATCATTGACAAGATCCTCCCATGTAGTTCTGGGCTGATTCCTCACCGTTCTCATGATCATTGCAACTCCACGAGGTGAGATCTTGCATTGAGCCCCAGGCAGAGGGAGATTGACAGTTATTTTGTGTTTCTTCCATTTCCTAATAATCGCACCAACTGTTGTCACCTTCTCACCAAGCTGCTTGGCGATGGTCTTGTAGCCCATTCCAGCCTTGTGTAGGTCTACAATCTTGTCCCTGACATCCTTGGAGAGCTCTTTGGTCTTGGCCATGGTGGAGAGTTTGGAATCTGATTGATTGATTGCTTCTGTGGACAGGTGTCTTTTATACAGGTAACAAGCTGAGATTAGGACCACTCCCTTTAAGAGTGTGCTCCTAATCTCAGCTCGTTACCTGTATAAAAGACACCTGGGAGCCAGAAATCTTTCTGATTGAGAGGGGGTCAAATACTTATTTCCCTCATTAAAATGCAAATCAATTTCTAACATTTTTGACATGTGTTTTTCTGGATTTTGTTGTTGTTATTCCGTCTCTCACTGTTCAAATAAGCCTACCATTAAAATTATAGACTGATCATTTCTTTGTCAGTGGGCAAACGTACAAAATCAGCAGGGGATCAAATACTTTTTTCCCTCACTGTATATGCCTCATCACAATTCTATCTCTGAGATCTACGGACAGTTCTTTAGACTTCATGGTATAGTCTCTGCTCTGAGGTGCACTGTCAACTGTGGGACCTTATATAGACAGGTGTATTTCCTTCTAAATCATGTCCAAACAATTGAATTGGCCATAGGTGGACTCCAATCAAGTTGTAGTGACATCTCATTGATGATCAAAGGAAATTGAAGTGTCAATTCGGAGTGTCATAGCAAATGGGTGTGAATACTTATGTAGTAGCTTACGGAACACCACAGCTATAGAAATTACAAGTGTTCAATGGTCTTGTTCCTCTCCTGCACATGCTTATTGACACTTCTGCCATGTATTCACAGAAAGCTTCTTGTGGAGTGGATATGAAATTGATATCAGTAAAATCATGTTAAACTGTATATTTTTTAAGGCAATGGACACCGGGTTAATTACTTTTATTTTCTTATGATACAGTGCATAATTATTCAGTACATAATTGCTCAGTTTCTCACACAAAACAGTCAATAGATTACCAAATGGACACATTTTGTTTTAGTTGCTGACCATATTTTTCCGCTCTGTTGGTCTGTATTGTTTAACGTAAACCAATAGGGGGGGGGGTTGTAACAGAATACATTGTTACAATGTGCCTAAATAACTTTTGACTGCACTACAAAGTACTGAGATACAGTTTGTAATAAAACTCAGAGAAAAGTGTTGTCAGTAAACAAAGTTTTATTTGTCATAAATATACAGTACAACAGAGACTCCGTCTCTCATGCACAACAGAGTATAAATAAGAACAATATGTAACAACAGGAAAATGACAAAACAGAAATTAAATTGAAAATTCATCTCAGAAAACAGACAGTTATAGCCTCAAATTAAAAACAGACGTCCAATACAAACAAAAGGTTTGTCTCATCTTTATGCTTTTATCTACAATAAAGTTCCAGACTGTGAAAGTGAACGTGTACATTTGGTTGATTGTAATTCTTAATACAAAATAACAAGACTGATATAGAGAAGGATTAGACAGAGATTGACGACGTCACTATCCTTCTCTATTTCATTCTAGAATCAGGAAGTACAGAGCTAACCCCTGACCCTTTACCTTTAACCCTCCATAAACTTCCTGAAAACACAAACCACCATTCAGGAGGCGAGACAAAGGTTACACTCATGCCCCTCTCCCACGCACACACATGCCCAATTTGAAATCAACCCCTACCCCTAGGTACTTCTTTAATGCCAACAGATCGGAAACCAGTGGCTAAGTTCAAGCAACATGGTGGAAACCCCATCTAGACTACCAGGGGGCTCGGTAGAGCCATACCTTGCTGCATATACCTATCTGATCCATTTAAATCTACAAAGGGCCATCAAGAAGCATCTATGGATAAAGGCAAAGAGATTGATTTGAGATTAGGCAACACACCCCTTAGTAACCATATCATTGCTTGTAGACTATTGACACCCCCTCGCTGTCCCCTTTAGTAACCGTGTCCTTGGTGATAGCCGTCCTGGTAACCGTCGTAGCCATGGTGATGGTACCCGTATCCTCCATACTCGTCTTCGGGGCAGCGCATGCCCAGTGACTGCTGGATGGCCATCTCCTGCCTGCGGAGCTGCATAGAGTCCACCAGGTCGTAAATAATGGCCATGGACCACATGGGGCTCGGGTACCACGACTTGACGTTGCCGTCCTTGCCCACCAGCAGCATGGAGAAGTACTCTGGGCTGATCTGGAAGTAGTTACGGATGTCTTTGACCAGGGTGGCCGAGAGGCCCTCACGCTCCACCGTGGCACTGCCTGGAAGGGGGAGAGAGAGATGGATAGAAGGAGTCAGTCAATATCCTTTGGTACGGTTGATGTCTTTGACTAAAGAGGTGGAGTGGCATTCTCGCTCCTCGGCAAAGCTGCCTGTCTCAAGAGAAAGAGAGAATTAGGCTGGGGAAGAATTGAATTTCACATTAGCCATTTAGTGTGAAAGTGTGTGTGGATTCATTTAGTTGTCTTTGAAGGTTACGCTCAATTTATCACCATGACAATTACCCTCGACCCCAGCTCTCTGCCCCAGCCCCACCTCTCTGCCCCAGCCCCAGCTCTCTTCCCCTGCAAAACTACCACCAAAGCTCCCCCAAAGAGCACATATGAATGCTATTCGGCAGGCCAGAGAAATGAAAGGGAGCGTTGACATATTTCCTCCCTAACACCCCCACCACAGCAAATGTTTGTGTGCTTACACAGCTGTGAGGGGTGTATGGATGGAGGGCTGTGAGGGGTGTATGGATGGAGGACTGTGAGGGGTGTATGGATGGAGGGCTGTGAGGGGTGTATGGATGGAGGGCTGTGTGTGTTTGTGTTGATGGTGTGGTGTAGGCAGCAGCATCAACATGTTTTTGAGGTTGGGTCCCCTACCACAGAGGAAAGATCAAACAGTGTCTCCGGTAGCAAGGAGAGAATACATTAACAAGGCTGGGCTATAGAGACTTGGACTGGGGGAGACAGCGGGAGTTAGGGCTGGGGCTGGGCTATAGGGACGTGGACTGGGGGGGACAGCAGGAGTTAGGGCTGAGGCTGGGCTATAGGGACGTGGACTGGGGGAGACAGCGGGAGTTAGGGCTAAAGTTGGACTACCTGCCTGCTGTGACTATAAAACAACATCAGACATTCAACAGCACGGCTGTGTGAACTGAAGATTAAACAAAACATAACACAGCCCATTTACCCTCCATGTGTTTCTTGTTTTGTTTCAAGTATGATACACATAGGTGGTGTGTAGACAACAGGGTTCTCACCATTAATTGGATATAGCTCTAGGACTCCTCCCTGGTCCACTGCCTCCATGCCAACCAGCTTCAGGATGGAGATGTGTCTCAGGCCTGGGTCACCATGGAAACCACCACCACACAGACGAACACACAACAAAGAGGACATAGTAGCCCATTAGAACAACAAAATACCCAACAACAGCAACTTACAACGTAAAGTCAAACGTCTCCTACTGAACATCTATTCAGGGTTCTTCAACCTGTCAAAAAATAAGGAAGGGAAGCGTTGACTGGATAGGAGATCTTTGTAGATTGTAGGTGCTCTTTAGTAAGAGAGAAACCTGTTGCGCTACTGAGCGTGCAGGGTTTTGATCCAGCCCCCTGCAGTAACACACACCTGATTCAGCTAAGTATGGGCCCAGACAGAAGACCTTGATCTCCAGGATCAGAGTCGGAGACTCCCCCAAACCTGATCTAATTCAACCACCTGTTTCATATTCATCTCTAAACGTATTTATTCAATATGTGGATGTGGTCGTTCCTGATTAGAACCATCTGTGAGTTAGTCGTGATAATAGAGAGGGAATGTGAAGGACTTGTGTCCTGCTGGGCCAGACAGCTGGTTCTTCTGAAGACAGAAAAGCCACAGTAACCACATGAAAACACTGATCTCTAAGGTGAAAGCCAAGAGCCGAATACCAAGGTAAGAACCCAAAGCAGAGTCAGCAGCTAGGAGAAGGCCTTGTTTATCAGGTTTGAACACACGCACGCACGCACGCACACACACACACATACACACACACACACACACACACACACACACACACACACACACACACACACACACACACACACACACACACACACACACACACACCAAGCCAAGCCAAGCCAAGCCAAGCCAAGCCAAGCCAAGCCAAGAGAAACAGAGGAGGGGAACACAGTCTTTGATCTGAGTGTACAGGACTGGTAGAGGAGTAGGGAGTTACACTTCCATTACCCTTTCCTGAGAGGTGTGTGTGTGTTTGTGTGTGTGTGTGTGTGTGTGTGTGTGTGTGTGTGTGTGTGTGTGTGTGTGTGTGTGTGTGTGTGTGTGTGTGTGTGTGTGTGTGTGTGTTCCAGTGTCAATATATTTGAGTGAATATATTTTATTAAACCATATCAAAAATCGTGTGGCAATCTACAAGTTTTCTGGAGGCCCTGGTGCGACGTTAGGATGATCCACAGGAAGCCCAGATGATACTGCTAGCTGCTAAGTGGATAGCTCTGCTCTGACAACTGCCCAGTTTGTGTGCTTGTGTGTGTGCGAGCAGTACATGGCCTGGTTCAGAAACAACTTGACTTCCTGTTGATCTCTCACCCAGGTTGCAGGCTTGGCTGGTCAGGGCGTAAAGCTGCTGCTGATAGGCCCATTCCTCATCATTGGGGGCGGAGATTACAAACAGGCGACGCCTCCAACGGAACCTGAGAACCCAAAGACGGAACAAGGATGAGATGCAGCATGATAATACTATACGGTCATGTGATCAATCTCTTATATTTAAAGATCCTACAAGGATCTTGCTCAAGACTTGAACAAAGTCACTTCCTGTCTAAACCCTGTGGGTCACTGTCATTAGAACCAACAACGAACCCACTGGGTACTGATGTCAGTTCAACGTCTAGTTTTGATTTACATTTGGTTGAGTTGTCAACTAACTTGAATTCAACGTGAAATCAACAAAACATTTCACCATGTCACTGAATTTAGGTAAAAAGTTATGTGAAAAAAATACAAAATGTCCTTCCGTTGATGACTCTACAAATCCAATCAGTTTTCCACGTTGATTCAAAGTCATCACATTGATATATATATATATATTTTAATGATGTGGAAGCAAAGTCCCAGTAGGAAGTCACTTCCTGTCTAAACACTGTGGGTCACGGTCATTAGACTGGAATTGAGTCTCCATGGCAACAAACCACAGTCAATCTGGTTAAAACATTTAAGTTAAATACACTATATACAAAAGTATGTGGACACCACTTTCAAATTTGTGGATCCGGCTTTTCAGCCACACCCGTTGCTGACAGGTGTATAAAATTGAGCACACAGCCATGCAATCTCCATAGACAAACATTGGCAGTAGAATGACCTTACTGAAGAGCTCAGTGACTTTCAACGTGGCACCGTCATAGGATGCCACCTTTCCAACAAGTCAGTTCATCAAATTCCTGCCCTGCTAGAGCTGCCCCCCGGGTCAACTGTAAGTGCTGCTGTTGTACAGTGGAAACGTCTAGGAGCAACAACGGCTCAGCCGCAAAGTGGTAGACCACACAAGCTCACAGAACGGGACCGCCGAGTGCTGAAACGCATAGCGCTGTCCTCGGTTGCAACACTCACTACCGAGTTCCAAACTGCCTCTGGAAGCAACGTCAGCCAGAGAACTGATCGTTGGGAGCTTCATGAAATAGGTTTTCATGGCCGAGCAGCCGCACACAAGCCTAAGATCACCATGTGCAATGCCAAGTGTCGGCTGGAGTGGTGTAAAGCTCACCGCCATTGGACTCCGGAGCAGTGGAAACACGTTCTCTGGAGTGATGAATCACGCTTCACCATCTGACAGTCCGACAGACAAATCTGGGTTTGGCGGATGCCAGGAGAATGCTACCTGCCCCAATGCATACTGCCAACTGTAAAGTTTGGTGTATGAGGAATAATGGTTTGGGGCTGTTTTTCATGGTTCGGGCTAGACCCCTTAGTTCCAGTGAAGGGAAATCTTAACGCTACAGAATACAGTAACATTCTAGACGATTTTGTGCTTCCAACTTTGTGGCAACAGTTTCGGGTATGCCCTTTCCGGTTTCAGCATGACAATGCCCCCCTGCACAAAGTGAGGTCCATACAGAAATGGTTTGTCGAGATCAGTGTGGAAGAACTTGACTGGCCAGCACAGAGCCCTGACCTCAACCCCATCGAACATCTTTGGGACGAATTGGAACGCCGACTGCGAACCAGGCCTAATCGCCCAACATCAGTGCCCAACCTCAGTAATGCTCTTGTGGCTGAATGGAAACAAGTCCCCCGCAGCAATGTTCCAACATCTAGTGGAAAGCCTTCCCAGAAGAGTGGAGGCTGTTATAGCAGCAAAGGGGGGACCAACTACATATTAATGCCTAAGATTTTGGAATGAGATGTTCGACAAGCAGGTGTCCACAAACTTTTAGTAATGAAGTGTACAGTCGTGGTCAAAAGTTTTGAGAATGACACAAATACTAATTTTCACAAAGTCTGCTGCCTCAGTTTTGATGATGGCAATTTGCATATACTCCAGAATGTCATGAAGAGTGATCCGATGATTTGCCATGAAAATTAACTTAATCCCCCAAAAAAACATTTCCACTGCTTTTCAGCCCTGCCACAAAAGGACCAGCTGCCATCATGTCAGTGATTCTCTCGTTAACACAGGTGAGAGTGTTGACGAGGACAAGGCTGAAGATCATTCTGTCATGCTGATTGAGTTAGAATAACAGACTGGAAACTTTAAAAGGAGGGTGGTGCTTGAAATCATTGTTCTTCCTCTGTTAACCATGGTTACCTGCAAGGAAACACGTGCCGTCATCATTGCTTTGCACAAAAAGGGCTTCACAGGCAAGGATATTGCTGCTAGTAAGATTGCACCTAAATCAACCATTTATCGGATCATCAAGAACTTCAAGGAGAGAGGTTCAACTGTTGTGAAGAAGGCGTCAGGGCGCCTAAGAAAGTCCAGCAAGCGCCAGGACCATCTCCTAAAGTTGATTCAGCTGCGGGATCGGGGCACCACCAGTGCAGAGCTTGCTCAGGAATGGCAGCAGGCAGGTGTGAGTGCATCTGCACTCACAGTGAGGCGAATACTTTTGGAGGATGGCCTGGTGTCAAGAAGGGCAGCAAAGAAGCCACTTCTCTCCAAGAAAAACATCAGGGACAGACTGATATTCTGCAAAAGGTACAGGGATTGGACTGCTGAGGACTGGGGTAAAGTCATTTTCTCTGATGAATCCCCTTTCTGATTGTTTGGGGCATCCGGAAAACACCTTGTCCGGAGAAGACAAGGTGAGCGCTACCATCAGTCCTGTGTCATGCCAAGAGTAAAGCATCCTGAGACCATTCATGTGTGGGGTTGCTTCTCAGCCAAGGGAGTGGGCTCACTCATATTTTTGCCTAAGAATAAAGAATGGTATCAACACATCCTCTGAGAGCAACTTCTCCCAACCATCCAAGAACAGTTTGGTGACGATCAATGCCTTTTCCACCATGATGGAGCACCTTGCCATAAGGCAAAAGTGATAACTAAGTGGCTCGGGGAATAAAACATCAACATTTTGGGTCCATGGCCAGGAAACTCCCCAGACCTTAATCCCATTGAGAACTTGTGGTCGACCCTCAAGAAGCGTGTGGACAAAAAAAACCCACAAATTCTGACAAATTCCAAGCATTGATTATGCAAGAATGGGCTGCCGTCAGTCAGGATGTGGCCCAGAAGTTAATTGACAGCATGCCAGGGCAGATTGCAGAGGTCTTGAAAAAGAAGGGTCAACACTGCAAATATTGACTCTTTGCATAAACGTAATGTAATTGTCAATAAAAGCCTTTGACACTTATGGAATGCTTGTAATTATACTTCAGTATACCATAGTAACATCTGACAAAAATATCTCATAACACTGAAGCAGCAAACTTTCTGAAGACCAATACTTCTGTCATTCTCAAAACTTTTGACCACGACTGTATATACGGGACCATAGTCAATCGATACAAGACCAAGGTGTTAGCGTATCCTACAGTACTGGAAATATAATAAACATGTATATATACAGTGCATTCGGAAAGTATTCAGACCCCTTATCTTTTTCCATATTTTGTTACGTTACAGTCTTATTCTAAAATGGATTAAATATACTTTTTTTTCCCTCAGCAATCTACACACAATACGCTATCATGATGAAGTGAAAAAGATTTTTTAGAAATTTTTGAAAATGTATAAAAAAAAAAAAACTGAAATACCTTATTTACATAAGTATTCAGATCTTTTGCTATGAGAATCGAAATTGAGCTCAGGTGCATCCTTTTTCCATTGATCATCATTTAGATGTTTCTACAACTTGATTGGAGTTCACCTGTGGTAAATCCACCTGTCTATATAAGGTCCAACAGTTGACAGTGCATTTCAGAGCAAAAAGGTCGAAGGAATTGTCCGGAGAGCTCCGAGATAGGATTGTGTCGAGGCACAGATCTGGGGAAGGGTACTAAAAAATGTTTGCAGCATTGAAGGTCCCCAAGAACACAGTGGCCCCCATCATTCTTAAATGGAAGAAGTTTGGAACCACCAAGACTCTTCTTAGAGATGGTCGCCAGGCCAAAATTAGCAATTGGAGGAGAAGGGCCTTGGTCAGGGAGGTGACCAAGAACACGATGGTCACTCTGACAGAGCTCCTCTGTGGAGATGGGAGAACCTTCCAGAAGGACAACAATCTCTGCAGCACTCCACCAATCAGGCCTTTATGGTAGAGTGGCCAGACGGAAGCCACTCCTCAGTAAAAGGCACATGACAGCCCGCTTGCAGTTTGTCAAAAGGCACCTAAAGACTCTCAGACCATGAAAAACAAGATTCTCTAATCTGATGTAAGCAAGATTGAACTCTGGTTACGTCACGTCTGGAGGAAACCTGGCACCATCCCTACGGTGAAGCATGGTGGTGGCAGCATCATGCTATGGGGATGTTTTTCAGCGGCAGGGACTGGGAGATTAGTCAGGATCGAGGCAAAGATGAACAGAGCAAAGTACAGAGAGATCCTGGATGGAAACCTGCTCCAGAGCGCTCAGGACCTCAGACTGGGGGAAGGTTCACCTTCCAACAGGACAATGACCCTAAGCACACAGCCAAGACAACGCTTGAGTGGCTTCGGGACAAGTCTCTGAATGTTCTTGAGTGGCCCAGCCAGAGCCCGGACTTGAACCCGATCGAACATCTCTGGAGAGACCTGAAAATAGCTGTGCAGTGATGCTCCCCATCTAACCTGACAGAGCTTGAGAGGATCTGTAGAGAAGATTGGGAGAAACTCCCCAAATACAGGTGTGCCAAGCTTGTAGCGTCATACCCAACAAAGTACTGTGTAAAGGGTCTGAATACTTATGCAAATGTGATATTTCAGTTTTTTATTTGTTTATAAATTAGCAAAAATGTCTATTAACCTATTTTTGCTTTGTCAATGTGGGGTATTGTGTGTAGATTGATGAGGAAAAAATACAATTTAATCAATTTTAGAATAAGGCAGTAATGTTACAAAATGTGGTAAAAGTCAAGGGGTCTGAATACTTTCCGAAGGCACTGTATATATATATATATATATAGTATATGCCATTTAGCAGATACTTTTATCCAAAGCGACTTACAGTCATACGTACATAATTTTTTTAACGTATTGGTGGTTAGTGTTAATATTCATGTTGACATGGCCGCCTGTCAATTCTGACCACTCCTCAGCCAGATCCCTTCCTGGCAGAAGGAGGCAATATTCACACCGGCTATGGAGCAAAATTAATGTTACATATTGAGCCTGTTTCAGATTCCAGCCGCTCCCAGACACAGCCATAGGCGGGAGACACACATGCACGTGCGCACGCACGCACACTCACATACACAGGCACGCACACTACCTGGAGAGGAAGTTCTCCAGTGATCTTGGTTTGTCCTCCTTCTTGCAGGCCACTCCGTCACTCTTCTGCTGTTCCATCTCTCTGATGCGAGAGGAGAAGGTGTCGACGTAATCAAACACAGCCTTCATGGCGATGGGGACCTCGTAGGATTGCTGTTGGAGGGACAAACACACATCAAGTCAGTGGACCAAAACAGTAACCAACCATTGGAGGATTTGAGTGTAAAATCCCTATTCGATTATTCTAGTGGTCAGGAGAGAAATGTAAGAAATGCTATTCCTATGTTATCATGATTCCAGTATTCCTAGAAAAACCTAGAAAACCCTGTAACCTGTATTCCTGACAAATCTATATCCAAATGAAACAAGACACTGAGCCATGTGTTCCAGTTTGCTGTGACTTCACAGGCATTCTCTGCATGTTTCTGAGAAACACAACCAGAGCAGTGGGGCATGGGGTTCAACACAGTGGGCATTGGGGTTCAACACAGTGGGCCATGTGGTTCAAAACACAGTGGGCATAGGGTTTAACACAGTGGGCATGGGGTTTAACACAGTTGCCATGGGGTTCAAAACACAGTGGGCATGGGGTTTAACACAGTGGGCATGGGGTTTAACACAGTGGTCATGGGGTTTAACACAGTGGGCATAGGGTTTAACACAGTGGGCATGGGGTTTAACACAGTTGCCATGGGGTTCAAAACACAGTGGGCATGGGGTTTAACACAGTGGGCATGGGGTTTAACACAGTGGGCATGGGGTTTAACACAGTGGGCATGGGGTTTAACACAGTGGGCATGGGGTTTAACACAGTGGGCATGGGGTTCAACACAGTGGGCCTGGGGTTTAACACAGTGCCAATGTGGTTCAACACAGTAGGCATGGGGTTCAACACAGTGGGACATGGGGTTCAACACAGTGGGACATGGGGTTGAACACAGTGGGACATGGGGTTCGACACAGTGGGGCATGGGGTTCAACACATTAGGGGATGGGGTTCAACACAGTGGGTTATGGGGTTCAACACAGTGGGCATGGGGTTAATCACATTAGGGCATGGGGTTCAACACAGTGGGACATGGGGTTCAACAGAGAGGGGCATGGGGTTCGACACAGTGGGGCATGGGGTTAAACACATTGGGCCACTGGGTTCAACACAGTGGGGCATGGGGTTCAACACAGTGGGGCATGGGGTTCAACACAGTAGGCCATGGGGTTCAACACAGTGGGCCATGGGGTTCAACACAGTGGGGCATGGGGTTCAACACAGTAGGCCATGGGGTTCAACACAGTGGGCCATGGGGTTCAACACAGTGGGCCATGGGGTTCAACACAGTGGGCCATGGGGTTCAACACAGTGGGCCATGGGGTTCAACACAGTGGGCCATGGGGTTCAACACAGTGGGCCATGGGGTTCAACACAGTGGGCCATGGGGTTCAACACAGTGGATCATGGGGTTCAACACAGTGGGCCATGGGGTTCAACACAGTGGGCCATGGGGTTCAACACAGTGGGCCATGGGGTTCAACACAGTGGGCCATGGGGTTCAACACAGTGGGCCATGGGGTTCAACACAGTGGGCCATGGGGTTCAACACAGTGGGGCATGGGGTTCAACACAGTGGGCCATGGGGTTCAACACAGTAGGCCATGGGGTTCAACACAGTGGGCCATGGGGTTCAACACAGTGGGGCATGGGGTTCAACACAGTAGGCCATGGGGTTCAACACAGTGGGCCATGGGGTTCAACACAGTGGGCCATGGGGTTCAACACAGTGGGCCATGGGGTTCAACACAGTGGGCCATGGGGTTCAACACAACTCCGTTCAGAACGTTATACATTCCACCATGCAGCATATTTTTTAGGTATCCCAGCATAAAAATATTCTATTTTATAGGGCACAGTTTATGAAAATAACACACCCACTCATGACACACTCACATAAGCACAGGCACACACACACATGCAGGCATAAACACACTCTCTCTATCTACCCCCGTCTCTCTCATACCCACGCCCTGTAATAGACTTTCCTGTCTGGACTGACAGCAGTAGAGGGTTGGTTGCACACTGGCGTCTTTGTTTAATTTGTCTGAAAACAGCCTGCCGATTTACACACACACACACACACACACACACACACACACACACACACACAGCTGTTGGGAGAACGTCATGTTGTGTGAATTGAACCAGTGTTTAATCACGGCAGGATGTTCACAGTATGGTGAAGGCAGGTCAACCAACATGAGTCTTGTTCTAATGGGCCCAACAGAGAGGTTAGGTTTGTGTGCTCCATTAAGTTCACTTGGCAAGACGGTTGGGTCGAGTACAGGCTTCAGGTCTAAATGGAATGGTCCCAATAGTGTGGACCGACGATCCGGTGCGCCAGATTAGCTAAATTAAGCACATCTAGTAGGAAAGCGCGAGAGAGAGAGAGATAACCCCATAGAAATCCTATTCAATGACTATTCTAATTCCTAATTCTATGGGTAACCCCACCTTGACTCTCATGTCAGTGTCAGTGAGGACCATGTAGAAGTGGTTGAAGGTCATACTGAACTCCTTCCGCAGCTCTGTGATCACATCCTGGTTCACCAGGTCCTCCTGACGAAGACCTTTCATAGGCTTATCATTCTCTAGGAGGGAGGGAGGGAGGGAGGGAGGGAGGGAGGGAGGGAGGGAGGGAGGGAGGGGGGAGAGAGAGAGAGAGTTAAAAATAAATGTGCATAAGAGTGGAAGCTGAAACAACAACAAAAACAATGCATTGTACAACTACAGCCATGGGGAAACATGGATTGGACAACCCACTTCCAATCAGTGACCGGATTGGTTGACATACGACCGACCAGAAGGCGTGTGTACCCTAAAAGGTAAACATTGGTCCATATCAGTCCACAGCATGTTAAGAAGAGGTTATTATTAGCTCCACCTATCCCTGTCTCTTCAGCTCTGCAAACGTCATAGTGGTAAGGAGGAGACTGGTTCTCAAGCAAATTAGTAAGATTGTCTCACCCAATGTTCAAGAAAGGCCTTTTTCCCTTTATTCAGATTACAACCTCTCACTTTCAGTTATTTGAAAAGGAAATAATCTCCCAAATGTCACTATTTCTAAAACAAGCCATGGAAAGTTGGTTGCAATTTCAAATTAATCCTCCAGAAACGACAGAACAAATAATGCAACAAATATTGTGGTTAAATTCAAATATACTAATTGAAAAAAAACCTTTATTTTTTGACAGAATGTTTAAAAAAGGTATAATCTTCGTAAATGATATCATCGGTAGGACTGGTGGAGTTATGTCGCACATGCAGCTAACAAAAACATATGGAAATGTCTGCTCTACCCAAAATTACAACCAAATAATTGCAGCCTTACCGCAAAAGTGGAAGAGGAAAGTTGAAGGGGGAGAAAGTAAGGAACTTGTCTGTCGGCCTTGCATTAAAGAACATAATTGGTTAAGGAAAACTGTGATAAATAAAAAAGTATATCAGTTTCACTTAAGGACCAAAGGATTGACAGCCGTCCCATATAGATTGCAAAATAGTTGGGAAGAGATCTTTGACGTACCGATCCCATGGCATAGTGTTTATGAACTGACACGCAAAACGACACCGGATTCAAAAATTAGAATCTTTCAATTTAAATTATTATATAAAATTCTTGCTACCAATAGAATGTTATTTATATGGGGGATACAATCTTCCCAGCTCTGCAGATTTTGCTGTGAAGAGACAGAATCATTAGATCATTTGTTTTGGTTCTGTCCATTTGTAGCTTGTTTTTGGACACAGGTCCAGGAATGGCTAAAGGATTGCAATATTTACCTGGAACTAACCTTGCAGATAGCATTACTGGGTGATCTGAAAAGTCATAGTCAATCAATCAATAATATAATAATACTTTTAGCAAAAATGTTTATTTTTAATTCACAATCTGTAGAAGCAATGAGAATAGAAAGGTTCAGAACTTTTGTAAAACATCACAGTACGGTTGAAATATATATGGCAAATAGAAATCCAATATGGATGGTGTTAAGAGATAGATGGGAGGTAATGAATAGAGTTGAAGGATGGGACTAATAACAAATAACAACAAATAATAACAAAGATAGCTAATAATGTAAGCATACTGTGTCCATAATAAGTATATAGGTTGTATGTTGGGAGCTTTTGGGAAAGAGCACAGTTAGAAAGATATGGCATTTAGAAGCAAACCGGATGGACATCATGAAAATGATCGGAGAGGTTGAGAGTAGAAGAAGTTCAGGAGCAAAAAAAATATATATATATATATATATATATATATATATATATAGAATTATTGTAAAATTAACTCTGTCCATAAGGTGTAGATAGTAAGTATAGACCGGAAGTAGAGGCCTGGGCATTGTTGTTCACTAATTTACTCCAAGTAGGGAAAGGATGGTGGGGTTGAAAAGTAATAAAGGGGAATATATATATAAAAAATAAAATAAAACATGGGGTATTGGAAGTGATGCAGACAATTACATTGATAGAAGATACAATCTATCTGCAATATTAAGCTGATCCATTCCCCCCCCAAAAAAAAAAAAAAAAAAAAAAAAGGAGGAGACTAGTGGAAGGGACTAAGGGTTGTTTTTCGATGAGCGTCTCTCTGAGGTAAAATAATCTCTGGTCAGAGATCTACCACCCAAAAGGAGGGCAATCGTGTGTTTACTCTAGGTTTACTGCTTCCTCTGTGGAGAAGAGACACACACACACAACTCAGTCACTCACTCATTCACACTGAGACACTCTATATTACAAAACATTGACACTTTCCTCTCTCAAACAGAGTTAAAGGAAGATGGCTGAAGTGGGAGAAGCCAATCTAGTTTTATTTCCTTCAAATCTAAGGAATTTCTCACTCTGTTTTAAAATCCCTATTCGATTATTCTAGTGGTCAGGAGAGAAATGTAAGAAATGTTATTCCTATAGTCATTTAATAGGAATTCCTATTATTTTCTCAAAAAATCAATTCTACCTTTTTTTTCTCCTCGTTCCTGAATGTTTATTGTTCCTGGTTGCATCTCTGACTACATACCAGATCTTCCTCTGTTTTCCTTAGTTTTGACTTGAATCCAGAAGACCCAGAAGAACCCAGCTGTCTTCAATATGAGGGGATGATGGAGACTATGTTGACTTACTGTGTGTTCTGACTGGAAACCCATCATTCTCCACACCTAGGATGATTTCGACACGAGATGATAGGGAATCAAAACGTCTGAAATGCATTATGTTACTGCCTCATAAACAGAACTGGTCAACTTTGAAATAATTTACACCGATATATAACCAATTTGAAGATGAAGATAATTCCAACCCAAAACGAACCCCATTCTACAGAAAACATTTAAAAATTCATATGGATTGCATATTGTATATCTGTAGCTACATGGTTTCTATGGAAAAGCAGTGTTGAGTCCTATCTATCTATCTATCTATCTATCTATCTATCTATCTATCTATCTATCTATCTATCTATCTATCTATCTATCTATCTATCTATCTATCTATCTATCTATCTATCTATCTATCTATCTATCTATCTATCTATCTATCTATCTATCTATCTATCTATCTATCTATCTATCTATCTATCTATCTATCTATCTATCTATCTATCTATCTATCTATCTACAGTTGAAGTCGGAAGATTACATACACCTTTGCCAAACACATTTAAACTCAGTTTTTCACAATTCCTGACATTTACTCCTAGCAAAAATTCCCTGTCTTAGGTCAGTTAGGATCAACACTTTATTTTAAGAATGTGAAATGTCAGAATAATAGTAGAGAGAATGATTTATTTCAGCTTTTATTTCATTCATTACATTCCCAATGGGTCAGAAGTTGACATACACTCAATTAGTATTTGGAAGCATTGCCTTTAAATTGTTTATCTTGGGTCAAACGTTTCGGGTAGCCTTCCACAAGCTTCCCAAAATAAGTTGAGTGAATTTTGGCCCATTCCTCCTGACAGAGCTGGTGTAACTCAGTCAGGTTTGTAGGCCTCCTTGCTCGCACACGCTTTTTCTATAGGATTGAGGTCAGGGTTTTGTGACGGCCACTCCAATACCTTGACTTTGTTGTCCTTAAGCCATTTTGCCACAACTTTGGAAGTATGCTTGGGGTCACTGTGCATTTGGAAGACCCCTTTTAGACCAAGCTTTAACTTCCTGACTGATGTCTTGAGATGTTGCTTCATTATATCCACATAATTTTCCTTCCTCATGATGCCATCTATTTTGTGAAGTGCACCATTCCCTCTTGCAGCAAATCACCCCCACAGCATGATGCTGCCACCCCCGTTCTTCACGGTTGGGATGGTGTTCTTCGGCTTGCAAGCAACCCCCTTTTTCCTCCAAACATAACGATGGTCATTATGGCCAAACAGTTCTATTTTTGTTTCATCAGACCAGAGGACATTTCTCCAAAAAGTACGATCTTTGTCCCCATGTGCAGTTGAAAACCGTAGTGTGGCTTTTTATGGTGGTTTTGGAGCAGTGGCTTCTTCCTTGCTGAGCGGCCTTTCAGGTTATGTCGATATAGGACTAGTTTTACTGTGGATATAGATACTTTTGTACCGGTTTCCTCCAGCATCTTCACAAGGTCCTTTGCTGTTGTCCTGTGATTGATTTGCACTTTTTGCACCAAAGTACAATCTTAACTCTGCATTGTTGGAAAAGGACCCGTAAGTAAGCATTTCACTGTTAGTCTACACCTGTTATTTATGAAGCCTGTCTTTCCCCAGAAAAACAACATCAACCATTCCAGGTCATCTCTCTCTCTGTCCCCTCTGTCTCTCCACAGAATAACAATATCAACCTTTCCAGGTCATCTCTCTCTATCCCCCCTGTCTCTCCATAGAATAACAACATTAACCATTCCAGGTAATCTCTCTCTGTCCCCCCTGTCTCTTCACAGAATAACAACATTAACCATTCCAGGTCATCTCTCTCTGTCCCCCTGTCTCTTCACAGAATAACAACATGAACCAGTGGCTGCAGGTGGATCAGGCCCAGGTCAAGAAGATCACAGGTATTATAATGCAGGGGGCAAAGTCCCTGGGCAAGGACATGTACAGTATGTCATCTCCTGCACTCTGGAGTACAGCGAAGACAGACTAGAATTGATAAAGTACACTTACGATGATGTCTATCAGGTGGTGAAGGTAGGAAACAACACCTCCACTATGCTGATCCTCAACACAGGGGCCCCACAAGGGTTTGTAATCAGCCCCCTCCTGTACTCCCTGTTCACTCATGACTGTGTTGCCACGCACGCCTCCAACTCAATCATCAAGTTTGCAGACGACACAACAGTAGTAGGCCTGATTACCAACAATGACGAGACAGCCTAAAGGGAGGAGGTAAAGGTCCTGGCGGAATGGTGCCAGGAAAATAATCTCTCCCTCAACGTCAATAAAATTAAGGAGATGATCGTGGACTTCACGAGACAGCAGAGGGAACACGCCCCCATCCACATCGACGGGACCGCAGTGGAGAATGTGAAAAGCTTCAAGTTCCTCGGCATACACATCACTGACAATCTGAAATGGTCCACACACACAGAGAGCATGGTGAAGAAGGCGCAACAGAGCCTCAGGAGGCTG